TCTTGTAGTTAATCCCTTCACCCCCGCCCCCAGTCTGGCAACCATGGCTTTTCAATATGCTTAAAAAAATTTTTTTTCTTTATTGATTTTAGAGAGAGGGGAAAGGAGAAAGAGAAACATCGATGAGAGAGAACATCTTGGTGACTTCCTGCAGGCCCCCCAATGGCGATTTGGCCTACAACCTGGGATGTGCCCTGACCGGGAATCGAACCAGCGACCTCTTGGTGCGTGGGTCGACGCTTGACCACTGAGCCACACCCGCTGGGCTCAATTTGCTTTTTTATTTTTATTTATTTATTTTTTAATCCTCACCTGAGGATATTTTTCTATTTATCTTCAGATAGAGTGGGGGGGGGGGGGGAGAGAGAGAAAGAGAGAGAGAGAGAGAAAGAAACATCCATGTGAAAGAGACACATTGATTGCCTGCCTCCCACACAATCCTGACCAGGGCCGGGGACAAACTGAAACCGAGGTACATGCCCTTGACCAGATCAAACCTGAGACTCATTGGTCCGCCGGCCGACGCTCTAACTGCCGAGCCAAACTGGCCAGGGCTAAGTTTGCTTTTTAAAATTAACAATATAGTCTGTCTCTCTTTCCAAGTTGGGACGTAAAGATCTACTCTATGCCCTGGCTGGTTTGGCTCAGCAGTTAGAGCGTCGGCCTGTGGCCCAGAGAGACCCGGGTTCGGTTCCCACTAAGGGCACATACCTCGGTTGCGGTTTGTCCCCGGCCCTGGTTGGGTTGTGTGGATGGCAACCACTCGATGTGTCCCTTTCATGTCGATGTTTCTCTCTCTCTCTCCCTCCTACTCTATCTGAACAAAAAATGGAAAAATGTCCTTGGGTGAGGATAAAAAATTAAAAAAAAGATCTACTCTGTTTTTATCATATAGCTATATAGTATTCCATTGTATAGCTCTATCAGCTTAAATATCTACTCTCCTGTTGAATTTTACTTCCTTTAGAAAATCACATGGACTTTAAGTTCTAACACTTTATGGGTACTTTGTGTGTACAGATTTGGAATTAATGTCATTAGAATGTTTACTCTTTTTTCTTTCCCTTTATTTTATTTTGTTATTTTTTTCCATCACCATTTATCCTCCATATAACCTCTTCCATCTCCATCACCCTCCTTCCCCCTCTGCCGTGGTCACCAAGTAGTCACTGCACTGTTGTCTGTGTCCATGAGTTTTTTCTCTGTTTTTTTCTTTTGTGCTCAATAGAATGTTTAGTCTTTATACCTGTTGCACCCAGTTTTCTATAATGAGTGTGTGATACTTAATATCAGAAACTTATTTTAAAATGATATTTGTTTCACAAATGTTTTGCTCAGTTCTGAATTCCAGTAGTACGTATTGCTATTACAACACCACCTAATATTTGATTATATGTCTCTTCTCTTCAAATAAATGGCATGTTCCTTGATAACATGAATTGCATCTTATTCATAACATTGACTCAGCACCTCTGTGTGTCAGGTACTTGACATATATATATATGATTTCATGTAACACTCATAAAACTCCTGCAAAGTCTGTTCACTCTTTTAGTAAGGAGGAAAATAAAGCTCAGAACATTTAAAGATTTTTATTTTTTTAATCCTCACTGGAGGATATTTTTCTGTTTATCTTCAGATAGAGTGGGAAAGAGAGAAAGAGGGGACAGAGAGAGAGAGAGAGAGACATCAATGTGGGAGGGACACATTGACTGGTTGCCTCCCGCACAACACAGACTAGGGCTGGGGACAAACCACAACTGAGGTATGTGCCCTTGGCTAGAATTGAACCGGTGACTCACTGGTCCATGGGCCGATGCTCTAACCACTGAGACACACTGGCCAGAGGGAAGCTCAGAATGTTTAAATGACTCACTCAGCTCAGGTGTGGTGGGGGCATGATTAGAACCTCGGTCTCTTCTACTCCAGTGCCTGTCCCTTTTCCCTGCCTTGGAATTCACTACATCTAGCACAGGGATGGGCATCCAATATATGTGTAATTACAACATGTTGATTGACTATGTTGGAGATCAGCACTCCTCTAAAGACGTATCCCAGCCAGCATACCCAAGCCCGTCTCTTCAAAGACCACCTATAGGACGCGCCCTGACCACATGGGTCTCCACTAACACGCCCTTCCTTACAGTAGTAGCAACTGAATTCTCTTCAGCGCGCTGGGCTCAAGACCTCACGTGGAAGGAGAAAAGGTGACTGGGACGAAGTAAAGTGGTTTCTGAAACCGGAAACATTTGCTGGGAGGCAGAGGGTGAAGCTCAGTAGATGAGAGCAAATGACGCCAATGGAGCCCAGGCTCCTGACGCTGAAATGCGGGGGTGTCTATTAATTACCCCTCTTATCTAACAGTTGTTCATTAGGATGCATAATTGCCTTGTCATAAAAGAGGACTTGCATTGGGAACTGCTGGGAGAGCAAAAACTCTGGACTTCTTAATGTTTTTTGAACATGCTATTCCTTGAGAGAAGAGCCACACCTCATGGTGATCTCATTCGGGCGACAAGTCATGTCTTCCGGAAGAGTCGTCATGGTCCTCCCCCCCTCCCCTCCCCCCTCTCCCCCTCCCTTTCCTCTTCTCCCTCCTCCCCCTTCCCTCCTCCTCCCCCTCCTCTAACCCTAACCCTAACCCTCCTCCTCTCCCTCCTCCTCCTTCTCCTATTTTTTCCTGTGGTGTTTTTTTCTTTTTGAGAACCTCTAATTGCATTAGATATATACTAATCTGTCCTTAAGTACAAGTTCTTATTTTTTGAATTCTAACATAAGAAGGTTTATTTCTGTATGCCTTTTCAAGGTCTGGGAGAATTTGAATTCTAGAGCATGCAAAGTGCATGTCAACTCCAGGGGGGCAGAATATGGAAATGTGGGAGTGATGAGAGGGAGAGAGAGAGGGAGGGGGAGGGGAGGGGGAGGGGGAGGGGAAGGGAGAGGGAGTGAGAGGGGGAGAGGGGAAGGGGAGAGGGAGAGAAGAAACAGTTGACAGAGCAGAATTAGAGCTGTTTGTGAGGACTTCTTAGGAAAGATAAAAAGCGAATGAGGGAAATTAACCTTGGCCTTGAGATTGCATGCGCGCTGGTGTGGCTGAGAGGACCCAGGAGCGAGCGAGGGCAGGGGCCGTGCAATGAATGCCCAGGAGGGCAGAGGTGACGGAGAGCTGGATCTCGGGAGCTGGCTTGGGTAATATTTGCTCAACAGAGCTCGGTTCGCACGGGTTACCCAAAGCTTCCTGCATTTCCATGGCAAATCCCAAGGCGCTGTGAACCCCTGAGTCTCAGGAAGCCTGGGTGACACTGAGTGCCAGAGCCGGGGGGCAGCTGCTAATGACTCCCAAGGCTTCCCCTCTGGCTCGGGACGAAAGTGCCCTGCAGGACGACGATTATCTGTTTAAGGAAACAAACAACACTCAAAATGAATGAACAGGTTGTTTTCAGAATCGGGGAGATAGGAACCTTCTCTAGAAGGCAAGTAATTAAGTGAGGTGGGGAGGACACATCCTGGGAAGGCATGTTTTGGACAATAAAAGAGAAAAAAAACAGTTACTTCCCTTCCTCCTGTCTTGTTCACTTGAATACAGCTTGGTGCACAGAGCAGAGGCGGCCATGTTGTGACCCCAAACAGAAATGTTCCTTCCCTGCCCCCCCAATCCCCACCACCAGAAAAACAGCCTTGTAGGGATTCGGGTCGTGATATCATCGGGCTCCTGCACCGAGGTCGGTAGCTGCTGATCTCTTCGTGTTCGTTTGTGTATCACCGAGAAGCATCTCTCAGAGCTGGGTCCTGCTTTGGAAATACGTCCGCACGCCAGGCTGCTGTTATCCATAAGAGAGTAGAGGAGACTGAGCATTTAAGGCTGAAAGGCAATCATGGGGGAAGCAGTTTTGCACTCACTAGGTGTAGGGGAATCAGTAAAGGAAGGAAACCAGAGGGTAGACGTGGAATAGGATGGAGCACATGCCAGAGCCATTCAGCAAGAAAAGACAAAAACAGATTTTCGTAAGGCTGCTCCCATGTCCACAGAGCCAGCTCGACAGGAGGAGAATTCCGAGGTGTCCTCAATTAAATCACAGCGGGCCGATGAGTGGGAGAAAGAAACACCTCAAGTACTCGGTTCACAGCTCCGGGCTCAAACTCGCCAAAGACTTCTCCCATTCCTGAATGTTCCCCGGAACTGTGAATCAACTTCTAGGTGGCTATTTCATTTATTTATTTATTTATTTATTTATTTATTTATTTACTTATTTATTTTATTATTTTATTTTTTATCCTCACCCGAGGATATTTTTTTCCATTTTTTGTACAGATAGAGCGGGAGGGAGAGAGAGGAAGGGGGAGAGAGAGAAAAACATTGACGTGAAGGGACACATCGAGTGGCTGCCACCCGCACGACCAACCAGGGCCGGGGACAAACTGCAACCGAGGCACGTGCCCTTAGTGGGAACCGAACCCGGGTCTCTCCGGACCGCAGGCCGATGCTCTAACCGCTGAACCAAACTGGCCAGGGCTAGGTGGCTATTTTAAAAAAAAACAGCCGACCACCAGAGGCCACAGCATCTCACTTGTGCATGAACTTTCCGGACTCCAGCCCACGACCATTCACGGTGGTAACTGTGTCTTCCTCACAGACAAGGGGGCGCCCACCCTAGAAGGGTGCCCTCTTCATTTTTCCCACCCCTGTATCTAGACCCGATGTAAATTCTTTCAAAACAACTGACATCTTTCTTCCCCAAACTCATTGCATAAACGAGCCCGTCCGCTCCAGGCCCTCGGACAGGTTCGTCTTCTCGTCCAGCTCTGCTGCTGGGGGTCTAGGCTGCATGTCCCAGGACTGGCCCAGAGGGGAGTTTCCGGATAAATGAGGCTTTGTGCTGAAAGGGTTGAGCCCCAGGTGTTAATAAGGCCATGAAATCTCTTGACACAGGGTTTTCGTTGACTTTCACAAATATCTTTGCTCTCAGTATCAAACACGGCGACGTAACTTCAGATAGAACAGCCTGCAGTCTGGAAATCAACGGAGAAGACTGTGGATTCTTGGAACTGTGACTTCGCAGTGCGTGAGAAGACAAGACAGAGCTGAAACAATGCGCAGCCCCAGAGGTACGACCCACAGTTCACCTCAGTCCGTGAGCAGGTAGTGCTTGTGAATGGGGCAGTCAAAGAGGGCAGTAGGAATGCTTCGAGCTTCCAGTCCCAGAACACCTACTAACAAGATCTTGATTTCTTTCTTTCTTTTAAAATATTTTTTCTTTATTGATTTTAGAGAGAGAGGAAAGGAAAGAGAGAGAGAGAGAGAGAGAGAGCGCTAGAAATATCGATGAGAGAGAACATCAACTGGCTTCCCCCTACATGTCCACCCCTCCACCCCCCGGGGATTGGACCCACAACCTGGGCATGTGCCCTGACCGGGAATCAAACCAGCGACCTCTTGGTGCAGGGGTCGATGCTCAACCAGTGAGCCACACCGGCCAGGCACTAATAAGATCTTTATTTTTTTATTTTTTTATTTTTTTTATCCTCATCCGAGGACATTTTTCCATTTTTTGTTCAGGTAGAGTGGGAGGGAGAGAGAGGAACAGAGAGAGAAACATCAATGTGAAAGGGACACATCGAGTGGCTGCCATCCGCACAACCCAACCAGGGCCGGGGACAAACTGCAACCGAGGTACGTGCCCTTAGCGGGAACCGAACCCTGGTCTCTCAGGACCGCAGGCCGACGCTCTAACCGCTGAGCCAAACCATCCAGGGCCTAATGAGATCTTTAAATGAATACATTTTGAGTGACTGAAGTTCGGAAAGCACATGGGCTTTGGAATTAGACGAACCTCAGATCCCAGATTGGTTATTGATCAATTGTGTATTTCTGGACACATTGCTAACCTCTATTCAAAGGATGGAGAAAATGTAACATGCACATCTGAACCTGAATTTTACCTCATATTAGTTCCCTCTCCAGTGTGTGAATCTTGTTTATTTTTTTAAATTCATAAAACATCAGAATTAGTGCGTTAGGTTAGAAAGAGTAACGGCTGTCAGTGCGTGGTAGGTGTCTGAAAAATACGCATGAATGTCTTCCAGTTTCTGGCTTCTCATTTTGCCATTTACAATTGCCAGGCGCCTCAAGGAAAGGCCTCTCTCCCCTGTTCCCCATCAGTGGCCAGCACAGAGTCATCGTGGTGAATTTCACTGATGCTGGGCTCCCCACAAAGAGAACCAAGTACAGGGTAACCAGAGCCAGGAAGACTGCAGCCCTTCACTGCAGCTGATAGAAAAAGGGTTGTATTCCCATCGGCGCAGAAGGCAGCGGGCAGTGGGGAGGAAGCTCATCTGGGGGCGCTGTTCCAGTGCCGGGAATCGCGTATGGGCAGCTTAGGAATTCCTTTGTTTGCCGGAACGCTTCATCCTAAAGTGAGGTCCCTGCCCTGCGAGGTGAAATAGCGCCAGCTTAGGTTCAAAACGGGAAATGCCTACAGCAGTGTCCTCGTGGTAAAAGATTTCCAGATTTTACAACTTTGAACCCATTATCCCGTGAGGAATAATACAAATGGCTCCAGACTATTTACTCAAGTGATTACCGTGGCATTTGGTGGAGATAGGGCCGCTTTATTCTTCACCAATGATTAAACGGCTCTGACTAAGGTGAGGGCAATTGCATTTTGAGAAAAAGGTTTGATTTGCTAAGCGTTTTGCAAATAGCCCGATGCCCTGATAGAATAACTGAAAATGAAATTTCATGCGCCTTGATTGAAAAGGCTGTTATTTTATAAGTTCTCCTCCTCCCATCGTGACTAGATATGCCTTTAAAGGAAGACTTTATTCTCCTTGACGTCTTTTGCAACGTAGGGAAAAGCAGAATCTGAATCCAAAGCTCTACACTCAAGTCTATGCCTTCAAGTCTATGCCTCTTGACCTTGGGCGATTCGTGAAGTGGTTCTGGACCTGAGTTTCTTATCAGTAAAGTGGGGGGAATAATAGCTGCCCTGCCTGACTCATCGGGGTAAGGTGGGTGTTATGTAAGATCATATACACGTGAGAGAGTTTTGAAAACTGGGAAGCGCCCTAACATACGAGGTGTTATTATTCCCTCTGCCTTCCCATCAGACACAGGTCATTTCCCCCTTTTCCTGTGTCTTTTCTCATCTCCTTAAATCTTAACTCCAAAATGATGCAGGATTCAGAGATGGAGATTCTGCTGTCCAGTGTAAGTCTGGATGGCTACTGAGGGATAGTGTGCATGTTTATTTTTTGTTTTATAAACACAAAATGAAATCTCATTAATGTGGGAGAAAGCCAGGGTGATTTTTAGGGGCAACAACAAGGAGTAATTCAAAATATGAACAGTAGTTTACTATGTTTCCCATCGATGGCCAGGCTCTTAAGCACCTACTATGTGCGCTCACTAATGTTAGATGAGATGCAAAAGAAAATTTTGATGGGGCTTTAAGTTTGGGGTGTGTGTGTGTGTGTGTGTGTGTGTGTGTGTGTTTCAAACACATAAAGCAAAAGCAGAGCAGACACTCTGACCTGGAGTCTCATGGGCTTCTTAAGGTGTCCTTGGATGAGTTTCAGAGGGTCTTTGAAATAATATGCCATGCTTTGCACATACGTACACATGTCAACTTCCTGCAGGTAGAATCCATAGCTTTCACCAGAGGATCTGTGTGATTTAATGACTGAGCCATGTCCTAAGCTAAGACAATTTTCTGCTGAGTCTGCTTATATGGATAGATAAGATTATTCAGTGTAGCAAACCATTGTAGTGAGAAGGTCTAACATTCACGAATTGCAAAAACTTTAGAAAATTGCATTAGTCATAACTCCTGATTTAACTGTTCCGTCCAGTAACCAGGCTTCAGTTTCAGCTATTCCCTGAATAAATGCAAAGTTCAGATGAACTTCTATGATTATTGAGGAAGCAAGGGAGAGAGTAGTGGTGGAAATAACTTCGTGGAATCTTTGTCCAAATGATCCCTTTTCCTCCATTCTGCCAATTTACTGTAGAACTAAGCTAGTGATTTCACACTCTCAACTCTTTTCTAAATAAATAAGTTTATCGAGTCCCTGTTCTGTAGATGGCACCATGCATACGATTTAAAAGTTGTCTGTGATCAGGTAACTTATCTGAGTGGACAATCAGAGGCAAAGGAACAGTGGACAGAGCTTAGGCAGCCACCTCCACCCAGGGTTTGAATCCCAGCCCTGGTGCTATGTCTTTGGGAGACACTGGGAAGTCTTTTCATCACACTGAGCCTTGGCTCCTCCATGACCACAATGGGAACTTAGCTTCTTACGTCTTTCATTTGTTAAAAATATTTTGGCTTTCCCAGTTGGCAATTGATCTGGGTCTGCTGAGTGCGTAGGTTCTAGAGTGGGAATGTCTTGTTGAGTGGGTGATACAAATGTTAGCATCATTTTCAAGGCAGAGGGGACAGTTTAGGGCTATGAGTGAGACCTTTATGGAAGTGGTGACTTCAGTCAGGTGCTGAGCACAGGGCAGGACGGAGAAGTAGGGTACCTTCAATTTTTAAAGTTCGTCGTTATTTTTAACTATGTGTTAAGCGACCCCTCCAACTCACCTTGGCACTGCAATAACACAAGTTCTCACACAATGAGAACTTAAGGGCGCTTTACTTCTGTTGTTTGCCTTATCTTAGCAGAACCAGCAAAGTAGCATCTTTTATTTTACTGCTTCTTTTATTTTCTGTATCTCTGGCTGAGGACTGGTGTGGACAGATCTGGCTCCCAGTCCCAGCCCTCAGCGGACTCACGGGGGTGACCTTGAACAAGTGACTTCATCTCAGTTTTGCTGGCATATAAAGCAGGAACAAGAGCATCCACTGTTTTAGGAGGAGAACCATCTTGGGGTCAGAAAGAAGAGAAGGTAATACAGAGGTGAGGGACTTGTTACATTGAGAGAGTCCTCATACGGTGTTGTCCACGTCACTCAACAGTGGGGGTGATTCCATGGGAAGGCAAAGCCACGAGCTACTTGGAAGTGCAGACGCCTTAGGGACGACCAGAGGGGCCATGAAAGGGCAGGGCCGGTGTGAACAGGGCATGAGCGACGGATGTCCAAGAGTGGGAACCTGACGTTTAAGATCGCGGAGGTGGAACGGTGCTGGTGGAAAGGGCGGCCCGCAGAGTGGGGGGCTGCTGTGGATGCCGTGGAAGGTCGTCCGAACCGAGGGGTGAAAGCCTGGCTATCCAATGGGCGACCCACTCGCATGATGGAATTTACCAGGATGGTCGCGAGATTAGGAAATGATGGAAAGTGTCAGAATTTAAGAAAATTGGCCAGAGAGAGACCAGGAATAGGCTGGGTGACAATGAACAGGTAGCAACACTGGACAGCATGAGGTCACTCCACCGTGGGACAGTTGACCCTTGAACAGCATGAGTTTGAACTGCGCTGGTCCGCGTATTCGCAGATGTTTTCCAATGGGGTCAGTGCCCCTAACCCCCACGTTGTTCAAGGGTCAGCTGTGTCTCTGGTCTCCCGGTGTTTGTATCTCCTTTGCGTTCATCCTGCACGAAGTTTCCAGACTTCTCTTTACCAGGAACAGATCCGACCGTGCCGTTTCCACCTTCAGAATCCTCTATCTTGTTCCTCGTGTCTACAAGAGAAGCCTTAACTTCTGATTGAAAATTCAAGTAAACAATGCCACCTTTTCCTGGGGTGTCGCATTTCAGTCTCATTCTGGCGTTCAGAACACTTGCTTGTTTTACAGTTTTCTCCTTGTGCACCTGATCTGTGTTGCACAATCTTGAGTGCAAGGACGTTGTATTGGCATCCAGCACATACATGTATAAAATGCATTTAATAACATGTTTACTAATGTGGTAGTGCATGTTCATTATAGGGAAATTTCAAACCACAGAAAAGCATCCTCCCCCCAGCACATAAAAAGAAAAGACTTTCCAGTAATTCTAGACTTAAGAGGAGATTGCTGATGTCCTAGTCTATATATAAGCTTCCAATTGAAGGCTTAAGTTTTTGTTTAATCCTCACCTGAGGATATTTTTCCATTTTTCTTCAGATAGAGTGGGAGGGAGAAAGGGAGAGAGAGAAACATCGATGTGAGAGAGACACATCAACTGGT